AGATCCCAACATGTGAGCTGATTGTTGTGTGCATAGAATATTGAATGTAGTGGTAGATCCCAACATGTGAGCTGATTGTTGTGTGCATAGAATATAGATGTAGTGGTAGTGCGTGTGAGCGAAAAGTGTCCCCAATTAGTGTGAAAGCGCTAGAACGATTAGACACTTACATAAAGTGATTTATTTATTTATTCATTTATTATCTTGGAAATATTTCCCCTTAAACAGTCCCACAATGCACTGCGATGCACACTCAACCCAGTTTTTCCCTCAACTTCGGAATGGCTAATAAGCATTAAAGCATCCCCTAAACAGTCCCATGATGCAACACGTTTTGCATCTCCAGAGAGGCTAATATTAAATATCAATATATTAATGATTTAGCAATCTATTTAATTTGTCTTTTACCTTGTTTTGATGATAAAGATCTTGCTTTGACTTTCTCGAGGAAGGAATCAAAGTCTTCAGCATCAAGATCAGCACTGTCATGGAAAATAAGATTTGTAACATCAGAAATGATATGTAAAATTTAAAGGAAAACTAGCACTAAAATCTTCTGAAATTTTATTTGGCTGAAGCTTCAATAGATCAATAATCTTTAAGGGCCTAATAATCACTGGTTAAAGTTTTTTCCTGATATTCCAATGGGAAGTATCATATTTAAACGAATCTTTATAGGTGTCTGTGACGTCATACACTCAACACTAAACATAGCTCCGTACATTTCTTTGTAAATAACTTCATGTTTTACTTTAGTTCTATTAAGCCCAAAGGTCCGCTTAGGGACTTAATGTACATAACTTATGGTTAGAATCATTTTATGGCGTCTTTTCTTCAATACTGAGTGTAACACTGGAACATAGTTTGCTTACAAAATACAAAGAAATGTATGGAGCAATGTTTAGTGTTGAGAGCATAACGTCAGACTCCTATAGCATCTGGGTCTCCCGGTTTGTGTGTTACCAGAGCCTTCAATTTTTTGGTAAGAATGCTTTCTAATTGTGAGTGTTTTCTTACCTATCAAGGCTTAGTCCATCATCTGAGAGCCACGAAGAAACTGATATACTGTCTGACATCTTCGAACTACCCCTGTGCTTCTTGTTTTGAGCTGCCCTCTTTTCCTTTAAAATCATAAAAATCAGAAAAAATGTCAGTTTGTCGATTTTCCTATAGTATTGTATTTATAAATAATTCAAAACTCCAGGGCCTGGTTGTAGGAAGAGTGGATAGCGYTATTCGACGGATAAGGTCCCGTCCACACTGAGAAGAGAGGATTTTGAAAAAACCCACTAAACGGCCTCAAATCGCGCTGAAACTTCGCCAGAAGACTGACCAAAGTAAAAGCAACAACTGCAGCAAGTTTTGAGGCAAATTGTTGAGTGAAACATTTTATTTTCGTAACTTTATCATAACTCCCATGTGGCTACCGAGTCATATCCGGATCCGATGCACGTGATATAAAGGTCACGTGACATCACGTTCGGGTTTAGTATAAGTGAATTTTGAACTCGTGCGAGTCGAGTTTGCAGGACTCAATATTGTTGTTTATTATCAGTATTTCTTTATATCCATACGGATGGATTCGTACAGTCTGGTAGGTTTTAATTTGTAATTTCTTTCGTCCTTTCTTTCTTTTTTTTTTTGTTTACTTTGCGCAATGTGTAATAATTTGTATTTAATTTATTCAGAAAACCGACTACTATTTCGTCTACAACTAAAAGATTACTTCTACTGCTGTAACAGGATAAACCCTTGAGTGAATAAATAGTTGAGTTTAAGACTGTACAAGATTTATTGGTACACCTAATGTGATTGGAGTCACATCCCATACATTCCCTTATAAACCATACACAGGAACCTTGTTTGGGCTGCCTGTGATTCGACATGAACATTTTTGAAAAAGAAAAGAAAAGACAAAAAAGACAAGTAAAAAAAGAAAAACTTTGGAAAATCGAGGAAGGATACGGGGACGATGCTAACTCGTGGGTCTGCCTCGCAGACAACAGACATAGGAAAATACAACACTCAATGTTTGATATGGCCTTGTACAACCGGGTCGTGTGCTATGAAGACGAAGGGCAGGGCTTGGGGGTATAGCCACTCACTTTTTTGCCTTGCCCTGACTTATAGATAATAGATGTTTCTGGGTTTCATATTTTTTAGGATTTTCATTGGTGTACCTCACTTTCCTTGGCTTGTCTAGCAGCCCTTGAAGCTTCTCGTTTAGCCTCGTAATAAGCTTCTTCTTCAAGTTTTAAGTCTTCTTCTTCTTTCTTTAACTACAAAACAAAYGATTGGAAAAGATTCACCAACACTGCCACATAACAAATCTATACTAATTAATGGCGCACTTGGTTCTAATTTCTAGTGCACAATGCAATGGCATACTGTATGCCATTTTACCACTCAACAAAACTACTCGATTCTGATTGGACAAGAGGAATACAATTAAATCCCAAATTGTACTCTGTAAAGTCCCAATTAAGTTGCTCAATTTTTTTGAGTGTATTATAAACAAAAAATCACACAATCTTCTMGTACAATTCTGAATTTATAGATACTCGTGATGTTTTGACAGTTCTCAAATGGGACTCGTGGCAGCCTAAAGGCTCATCCAATTTTGAAAACTTTCAAAACATCACTCGTACCTATAAATTCCGAATTGTGCTCAAGATCGTGCGATTTCCTATACAAATAGTAATGCTAATATAGACCTTTATCATGCAGGGGCCATATTCATTACCAAAAGAATTACAGCTTTTGTTTTTATGTGTGACTGCAAATACATCCTAAAGAGCTTGAATGCAAGGCTAGCTGGGCAAAAGCCTATTGTTCCAGCCAAAATTGCTGTCACATGAGTAGGAATCACGGGTGGCATGAGCTGCTAATGCCTTGCATCTCACCAATGCGACCTGGGTTCAAGTCCTGCAGGTCTCGGTATTGTATGTTTGCATGTCAGTAGAGTAGACTTTTTCCTCTTTAATGATGAAAAGGTAAATTATACACCGTGAAAAGATGAAAAA